CGGTGGTGTGACGATGCCCTTTTTCAAACCGCAAAAGCCAATAAAAAGCGCTTAAAATCGTTTAGAGCAGTTTTTCAGATATTTTACTTGCCAAGGATACTATGCTCATTTCGTATACAAGTGAATACATGGTGTAGGTTAACTTCCGATGTATATCTAGTGCTGCTGGTACTACCTGATTGGACTACGGGACTTGCGGGTTCGCCAAGGACGAAAAAACTCGAGAAGCTCGTTCTGTTATTTTTATTTCTTCTGAATAGGGAGGAAGTATTCTAACCAATTCACTTTTGCCTTTATTCGGGGCTGCTCCCGCCGCCGTGTATTTGTTCACCGTCTCGATTTTCTGGATATATAACATGTCCTATATACCTACCGGACACACTTTACATCGGTGATAAAGTGCTCCGTCAAGCAGCTGCTCTAGCGAACAGAACTCGAAGCTAAGAAGCCCTCAGAGATTGGACCCCTTATGCATCCACCACCAAAGAGTGGACACCTATGTCGAACTCGTTGAGCACAATTTTATGCATGGACTTTAAAATATCGTTGAATAAAATAAACCAGTAAATAACCCCCCCCCCCCCCCCCCAAAAAAAAAAAAAGGATGCTAGAGATTGAGCGCTTACACTAGCGGATACATTATAGTTGCAAAAAGGCATCACGTACATACATGGCCGTTGTCATAAAACCAATAAGCTTCAATCGACTTAAAAACACGATAAAAAAAACAAAAAAACTCACGCTGTTTGAAAATTTTGAAAGCTCCTTTCAGGGTCGCCAGTAGTAGGGCATTCACCCGGCCAGACACAAGTAAAACGGCATATGGGATCAGTAGGGGCATCTCATCATTGTAGAGCAATGTTGACTATTATTGTGGAGAATACAGAACAATGCAATTTAAATCGTGAATTAACTAAAAAAACTAGTCTCTTTTTTTTCCAAAAATGGGCTTTGAGGTTGCCTATAAGTTATAACCAAGAAGTTTACCTGCATCGATGGAATCCCATTTTTGACAACAGTGTTCTTCAATCCGTACTTTTTTAAGTAAAACACATCTTGCAGTCCTAATACAATGCTAACACAACAAGATTCGCAGCTATTCGAGAGAGCCGATAAGCACTTAATGGGAAATCCATGGCTTTATCTGAATCACGATTTGTATGAATGAACGATACGATTGTTCAGTTTGTACAAACTGAACGTGTTATTCTCTTGATAGCAGGTTTAAGAACATGACAGATTTCTTCACTCTCTGTAATTTCTTTTTCTTCTTTGGATTCAAAATGAAATGCCTCCAATACCAAATGTCAGCCCAGCAAGGTTAATGTTTCTTCTTTTGCCTCTTCCATTTTATCAGTCAATATATCTACGCGACAATTGCTGCCGTGGTTTCAACATGCGCTTAAAACTACTTTCGTTTCTTCTTGCCGGTTACAGTAATTCATAAATAAACAAATCTTTATTTTGTTTCATCACATAACGGGGGACCAAGACAAGAAGCTGCTGCAGCAACTTCACGGAGGTCCTGGTCCCTTTACAGCAGGCGATTCCCAGACAATTTAACAAAACGAACAAAAGAGATACATTGAGAGAAAAAACACTATTTTAAATGTAGACCAAAGAGCACACAAAATGAGGAAAAAAAGGGAAATTAAATTTATAGTAGCAGGCAATGGTACAGTGATCCGGATGCCTTAGCCATACCTAAGAAAACAAACCTAAAATAATGCTCGTGCCTCTGCCAGCGTCATGGCATGAATATCAATACCTTTTAAAAATAATTAACTTAATAAAGTAGTTAATTGGTAATTTAGTGTGTGGTTATAATATCATGTATGTGATGGTGAAACAAACCACTTTTATTTAGGGCGGAGTTCATATCAAGAAGTGGGAAGGGCAAGGTTACTGTGTAGACATCTTGTACGCCACAAGTCGGGACCTATAAATATTGAAACTGGTTTTGTATTAAACAATGAGAACAATTGTTCAGTATGATATGATCATAGTATAAAACATTGGCAATAGCGCACACAGCTTTTTTTTTGTAATATATGTAGGGATTTACATTTGCTTTTGTGTATTTCCCAAACTAGATGACAATAATAAAGTTGCAGCTTAACACAAGGCGGTAACAATGATTTAAATTTGGTCAGCAACCCGACTGTTTTCGATAATCTAGACAAAAGGCAATCAACATGATTATTCTTAGACATACTATTTGTGAACCAAACGCCCAAAGTCTTAATAGTGTCGACAAAATCAATTTCTTCATTGTTTAAAATCGGGGCTTGTGATCGTAACTGGAACATGTTGACTTTATAATAAAAGGGCTTTAGTGTTTTGCGAATTTAACTTAAGGTGACCAAGACGAAAACTTTACTTGTCCCATTGAGTGACGAATAGGAGTAAATGGCTATGAAAATTCGATTGAGCTGCACCCGCCGCTCAATCGTAGGCTCAAAGACGCCTCTCGTCCTTGTGGTCGTCCTAGAGGTCGTCCGAGACCTCTAGGACGACCTCACTTGTCACAGTACGTGAAAAACAAGCGGCGTCCGTCGGCGTTGTGATCGAAATATTGCCATAAAATAAGTCATCAAGCGTCATGTCATCACACGTCATCAGCGTGATGTCACCGCTGGAGCGCTGTGTTCAAAAGGTGCGCTCCGGACTTCATCTGTGCTCGTTGTGTGCTTCCTCCGATGGACTGTGAGGCGACATCTAGGGTAGCTTCCTCAGGCAAACGTGGCCGCCCAGGCAAGTACGCCGCACCCTCCTTAAGTGTCCTCCTCTAGGCGTCGTTCTTGACGTTGTCCTTATGGTCATCCTAGAAGTCGCGCTAAACGTCGTCCTCTACGAACGAAAAGTTAGGGCGTAAACGAGCTCGTGAAGGTCTTGGGGGTTTGTCTAGAATTATGTCCTAAACGTTGTCTCTAGGCGTCGTCCTTAAGGTCGTCCTTGAGGTCGTCCATGACGTTGTCCTTGAGGTCACCCGAGAGGTTGTCCTCGACGTCGTCCTCGACGTCGTTTTAGAGGTCATCCTAGATGCCGTACTTGGCGGTTCTGTGCTAACCGTTTCGCATTTGTAGCCGAATAAATTGATTTTGAGCACCTTGACCAGCCTCAACGAGCAGGCGCACGGCAAATCTATCCCCGTCTCTTCCGCCATCTTGAAACTACCGCACCGCCATCTATTGGGCGTTGAAGTTGAGAATACTGGGCCCACTTCTTTTAAATTTGTATATAAATGACATTGCAAATATTGACAATAAAGTTAAATACTGGAAACGACTTAATTTTCGCGAATATCGCGAATCGCTTACAATTCGCGAAAAATAGATCCCGCGAACAATTCCGGTAAAATGTAAACACAGTGGAATCTATATTGAGATTCCGCGGCGTCGCGAAAAATAGAACCCGCAAATTATTCCAAAACTTCAGCTTTTACGTAAATCGCGAAATATTGAGCCCGCGAAAAATAAGTCGTTTACAGCATGTTATTTCTGCAGATCAGTATATATTTTTCAGCAAATGGTGCCGAGCAAATGACAGATAATGCTAATAAATTATTAATTAGGCGAAACAATTGGACGGCATTAAATTCTTTACAAATTAATGACAGCAAAACAAAATCCGTTATATTTAGATCACGAAATACAAACTATCTTCACACGTCTGTCCTTTCGCACGGTACGAATAATATAGATATAGTGGTAAGTGTAAAAGTACAGAAAAACACATTTCATCAGTTCATGACCTGGGACGACACGGTGCACATGAATGTAATAAATCTCAAACGCTGTTGGCGTTATATATAAATATCGGCTTATGTTTCCCACCCAGCTAATCCTTTTAATTTTCAATTCTCTCTTTTCTTTAAGCACAATGTAACTAATGCTTCTTAGTCCGGGGAAGTACGGCTTTCACAAATCATACGCAAATATATTTATACTGCAGAAAAGGTATTCGTATTATGTACCGTATTACGTATCATAATCATAGAAAGTACTCTTTAATAAACTTATAATTTAGTAAATTTCAAATAATTATAACTATAAACTTGCTCCTTCATACAAACGATCTTTTAAACACAAACAAAAAGGTTTATATATAAATCTCTCACCTGTAGCATAGGGAAGCAGTACATGAAACTCGTAGGTCTGAGGCACGGACAGTACCGCACTCCAGAACGACTTACGGCAATCAAATGTTAAAATGTACCCTTGCCCGACTTCCAAATTGTTTTTGTTAGCATAGTATTGAAATTCTGATTGAATCTGCTAAAAATATAGGGTCATAGTTTGTTTGAGATTCATCCACCTATGCTTTAAAAGTATAACTACTAAATTAGTTGTATAATTTCATTTTTTTTTGTTATGTCTTACGTTATTTTTGTTTTGTATTTTGTTTTAAAAACAAATACAGTGTTTGTGTTTGCTTTCGTTGTTGCTGCTGAGGGAGAGAGAGGCTTGTAAATCAACAACAGAGTTGCTTTTATCTGTTTATCTTTTCAAATTATAGGTATATAAAGAATTTGAATTTGAACCTTCCAATTGGAGATTGGAGAATTTTTCCGATTGGGGGTAGAGATTACTGAGGTGGGAAGATAATTTTGGAAACTTAGTAACGCCATTGAGTTGACACTGCAGCACTTTGTTCAACGTGCACTGTTTTCATTGTTTCGCACCGCCACCGTTTTCGAATAAAAAATAAGTTAAATGTATACATCTGTGTCATTAATTCAAGCATCGGTCGAACAGACAGCGCGTCAACTGGTGGTGGTAAAAACCCGATGAATGAGGCAGATCTTGAACAACGAGGGATCACCGTGAATTCAATATGTCTGTTTATTATCTCAAAGGTCACACATTCCTTGTTGCTACACGTGAGCTTAGGTCTTGGTGAACCAGTGCCAGCGTTGTATCCAGCAGTGGCACAGAGCCGATATTATAGATCTAAGGGGAAAGATTGGGTTCGTCGTGACTAGGAAACCGGTGGAAGGAGGAAGGGGGGCCGGGGGGGGGGGGGGGGGAGGGGGGGGGTTCAGCAGGCGTTTGTACCTTAAGTTAAATTAAACAATGTCTCTCTCTAAATTAAAACGTAGTCTTTGGCTAACCTGTTCGCACAGTATTTGTCTTACGCAGCTGGTAATCATTAATTTAGGCTCACGCATTATGTCTATTGTTTACGAAGATGTACATTTTGTTCATCTTCGCGCGAGAAATAAAAAGTAACGTATATTGCCCAGAGACGACGACAAACCAGGTGTTCTCCTGCGCGAGATGACGCTCGTAGAATAGCAACTGGTTTCTCAGCTTCACGTTTATATTGGCGGTGAAAGAAAACCAAGAAATCGACGAGAGAAGGAAAGTGGACGCAGCCAGGAAGGAAGGTGGAAGGGACGGAGGCGAAATCTCGAATCTCGTGGGTGATCAGCCAACCTGCGCCGCGTGAACTGCGCAAAGGCAGCTGTTAGGATTTTTGAGCTGTTGTGCCCTGGTAAAGAACCTCTTGCGAATTTCCATTTCCATCTGTTAGGGTTATCTCACGATCACAAATTTCCCAAGGCTAGGATTCACCTTCCCCCACCTTGTTCTTTGTACACTTAATGTGAAACCTCCCGCAGCGGGAGCCCGCACTTCTGCTCACGACCTGAGTGATTGATCTCGACGTCCTCGATTAAGAATGCCTTCACACGAGCGCACAGGTTGCGCAAAAACTGTGGCTGCTACAAGTGCTGGACAGATACGATGAACGCGGATGTAATGCCCTTTCTCTAAAAGCGAATTCTAGAAGAAGAAAAAAAATATAGAACACTGGTGCGTCACAGGGTATATTCCTTCTCTACAACACCGCCGGTAAGTATGTATGTACATGCACATTTACCCGAAGCAAAGTGTGTCTATGTATATTATGTACAGTACCTTAAACCTACATAAAACGACTGTAACTATTATCAATTACAATTGCCTGCGTCTTTAGAGGATTTTCTTGTTGTTGTTATAGGTTCAAGCAGATTGCGGCGAAAAGCTTCTGTTCTGACCGAATCGACAAGGCAGACGAGGGGCTCACTTTCATCTTTGGGAGATTCTGGGTGTGTGACTGCTGACGAGGGAACAAATCTTTGGTTGCTGAGTAGATACACATCGTGAAGTGGTTGGCGCTGAAAGTAGCGCTCTTCTCTATTGCACAAATTATGTGCGATGGAAAAATGAAGCGCTGGCGTGAATGGCATGCGCACGGCTGTGTGCATATCATTCACGCCAGCGTTTGGTTTAAGATGGCCTGCCGCTTCCAGGTAGCGGCAGTAATACTGATGAACACTTCCTGGGACTCTATCAGGAGGGATACTGAGCGCTGTAAAGCTGCTGATCGGACATTCAAGTGTGATTTACTAGTGGCATGACATCATGTGTCCTCCTGGTGTAACGTCCTGTTTACCTTTGGTCTAACGGTTGAAGGCAGAAGCCTACGTTTCTTGAAGTTCGACACATGGGTCAGCAACGTAAGCTTGACTAAAGGAAGTGCCGCCCCTTCCGACGGCGGGTGTAGCACACACCAGCTACACGTACCGTCCGTATCCCAGGGAGGCTCACGCACAACTCGAGTTTGTGGAGAGGAACACAGCGGGTGCAAACACGGTTAGTCAGTCTCTGGAGCACTTTTGACGATTAAGTCACTGGCGCACATGGTCCTTGTCTTCGTAGACTGCCCGCCACTTGGCGTTTGCGCGTCTTGGATCTCAGGCGAAGTTTGAATATGTGCACTGTCGTCTTATGGATCCTTGCTAAAAGCTCTCCTGCGGCACACTGCTCTTGAAGTCTTCGTGGAGCCAAAAAGCGTTGTTCTGTTCCAACTCTTCTTGTCAGATGGACTTCGTATCACTGGAAAGAAGAAAAAACGCAAGAGCAGAGATTTAATTTTTAACATAAAGGCATGAGTAGTATAACTCGTCCAGGCTACTGCTTTCTGTCAGTGTGCAGCCGAACTGTCTGGTAATTCAAATCTTTATATCTATATATATCAAGTTAAAATTGATACATTCTGTATCACCTGACTATCGCGTAATGTTCAAACTGAAGGCCGCTTTTCCAATGAATGCAAGTAATGCAATGCAAGCATATGAAATACCGTTAGAAGGATGGCAGAAGTAGGGTTCGCATAAAAATCATAACGAAGCACAAAAGACGCCGAAGCTGGTATGGCGTTCTTATAGTTAGGTGGTATAACAAAACGGCAGGTACTCGTCGGAGGATCCCATGAAGGAAACTCCTAGAACTCTCAGGCAGGCCGTCTCAAATAATGGGTTTGGAACACTACGCACCTTTTGGAGACGAGTTTGAAGGCCGTGTTAGAGGCGCAGGATCCCCCGTTGCTGTTGCCGAGGGAAGCGTTCGACTGCAGGTGCGGAGATCCAACTTTTGTACCAACTGGGTGAAAGAAAAATGTCATCGGTTACTGGTCGTGCATTTCCTTCACCAGAAACACGCACATTTCTCGTTAAAAAACAACAACAAGAACAAAAAAAAAAAAACGCAGATAAATTTAACAATTTTTTTATGCACCGGTTTATGACAGTTATTGTGTGTCTTTCTAACAGAGAATCACGCTGATTTTAATTTTTTGACACATTTCCAGGATAACGTTTGAAGCATGATGCGGAAGACAAAAATAGCTGCATGTTTTGGTCATTCTGGCAAACGCGTTTAAATCCGGTATCTTTATAGGGTGAGTGGCGTTCTTAGTTCGGGTGGTGCCCAGGGTTTTGTATGGGAACAGATTACGTCTCACCATTCTCTCTTTGTGAAGTTGGGCGCGCTTCTCTTCAGCACCATACGTATTCGAAACCTTTGCGCTGAATTTTTTGAGTCACTAAAAGGGGGCGAGCGCGCTTTCCTGCCTTTCTACTCCTCGTTCCGCGCCTCCCTGTCTGCTGCTCTCTTCCTTGCCCTTTGCACCCTTCCCCGCTCCGCATGTTTTCTCACACCACCTGCTTCAGCTCCTCCCGTTCCTGCATGCAGGGAAGTGGGTCCGTAGCTCAGCCAGCCGCTCACTCGGCTTGCTAGCCGGTGGCCGGGGCTCGTTCCCTGGCACCGGTTGCTAATATTTTTCTTCTTTTTTTTTTGTCAAGATTGCTCAGCGGTTACGGACTGACCGACTTACACATTTCGTGTTTACGCGGCTCCTGAGGTTGGTTGGCCCTATATTAGCGCCGACATGCTTCGCTGGCGCGTCCTTAAGGTTTCTTTCGTGACGTCATGACCAGGAGTTGCCTCGCTGTGATTGGCAGGATTTGCCTCGCCATGAACAGGCGATTGGGCAAGCATTATCAGTATACAGGACGCTATGGTTTCACCAATCGCAAATGCCGATCAAAGCGACGCTTTCGGTCTTGCGCATCGGTAATAAAGCTAGTTCTTTAAAACGCTTTCCGTTTAATTGCGAGACAAAACAAACATTGTGACGCTGGACAGAGTCCTGATCTTATGCATAAAGGGCATCAATTAACGTTTTGTTTAAATCCACTAGTTTCAGTAAAACACGTATATGTTACTGAGGTTTGTTTTGTTTTTATTCAGACTCGATGGATATGGACCTCTCCGGGCTCGATGTTGTTGTGTTATACGGAGGTAGAAGAGATCGTGGCTGCTCTTATAATGCACATCTTGAATGCGCATCTGGGAAGCAGTCGTCCATTGCGTAACAAAGCTATCCCATACTGCGTCGTAGTGCCGAGCGACCGTCGCGATTGTTTAGGCAATGGATGCTGAGCGCTCGGGAATCGGTACAAATGCTGTCGCAATGCGACTGCTGGTGCGCTCGAAAACATGTTCGGCTTAGACGGGACGAACTCGCATCGAGAGGAATTTTGCACACCGGCGCCACGAGGTAGCCTGCATTGAAACCCCACCGAAGTAGAGCACGCCCTAGCGAGCGACTCGAAATCGCCTAATGGGCGCCGCATTGAAAGAGTCTGCACGAAGAAAAGAGGGGAAAACGCGAGCCACTTAATGGATGTTTGGGGCTCGGCGCTACGGTTTCCTCCCATATCATTAGGCGCATAAAGCCCGTATCCCTTCGACGTCAGTCACGCTTATGAACGCGGTGCTTTGGTGCGGTCTTGAATGGCAGCGTTCGTCGTCGTCGCCGCCGTCGCACGCCGACGGTCGCTCGCTCGGCAGTGAGCCGCCGCCGCCGTCGGAGCTAGTCGGGAATCGTTAATTTGTAGGCTCCGCCCCCGTTAATGGAAGCCATCAGGGGGCTCCCGCTGAATATTTAAATGAAGCTGCAGCCTCCGCGCCGCCGCGTGTCGCCGATGCTCGCGAAGATCAGCACCGTCGGCTCGGCTGTGTGCGGGGAGGGAGGCTTTTGCGGCTCGACTCTGGGCGGGCGGTCGCGACGCCCGCGCCATATAACCCGCTTCCCTCTCTCCCACGCTATTTCCCCGCACTATCCCCGCGTCACCGGCTTTTTCCCGGCGACCGGAGAATGCGACGTAATTGAGTGGGCCCCGGTAAAAAACGGGTCGCGCAGGCATCTCTCCGGGAGACAAAGTTTGTGTTTGGGTCCCTGAGGAGATCAAGTCACTTTGAGCGAGTTGCACCTAGCGCGGCGCGCCCGTGTGTGTGTGTGCGTGTGTGTGTGTGTGTGCTGTAGTGCGCTTGTGTGTGAATTTAAGCCCCTTCGTGCCGTGGGGAAACTTTGAAGAGTCGTGGCTGGCGGTGTCCGTCGGTAGAGTTGAAAGTTTGTTGGCCCGGCGAGGTGCGCCCCGTCACGTGGCGAAGCAAGTGCCGAAAGCGAGGGGAAACTTGGCCTTCCTGATTACACACACGAGTAGTACGGGGAGACTGCGGAAATGCAGGCAGGTCCGCGGGAACGTCGCAGTGGGCGTTCTCTGCTGTGCCCTGCTAATTTTGCCGGAAAGGTGTAGCGTCCATTAACTCGAATACGATGTAGTCGAATTTCGGGCGCGCTCTCTCTCGGACACAATAAAGTTGCGTTTTCTAGTTTCCCACTCACTTGCCCAGTCGCGTCGGTGCCTCCGAGACAAAGCGAAGGCGTGTTCTTTCGCCCAATGAAAAGCGAATAGACAAACAAACATGCTGCGACCGGCTGCTATCGAAGCGCTTTTAATGTCCTCCATAATGTCTCGTACTGCTCTGCAGTCATTCTTGGACGTTAGCCTCACAATTATGAAGTGGCTGGCGCTTGAATGGCATGCTACAAGACTCTGCCTGGGGGAAAACAAAAGTAAAACAAAAACGAACGATACAACAGAGTCCTGAACTGTCAGTATTTGATTGTTTAGTTCAGTTTGTTTTTCATTTGGATTAGTTTTAAAACTAGGCGTTCCAGAAACAGCTCTCCCTGGTCTTTTAATTTATCTCACTACTTAACCATGTACTAAAGCACTAGTATAGGATAAATGCTTTATAGTTATGTTACGTAACTTTACTCCTAAACTGATTATGGTGGCGTAAGTGCCACGTGCCTAGTGCACAAAATGTTGACCTCCCTTGTAACGCGTTGTAACGCTCTCATCGCAACCCATTTATGCCGACAATCGATTGACACGCTATTATGCAGTCGTTACGTAGTGTGCATTTCGCAGCACGCTTAAGAGTTAACGATACTAGCTTTAGACACAAATAGAGAAGACAAGCCAAGAAATCTGAGCGTTTTTTAGGGATTGCGCTCGCGCCCCCCTGGCCGAAAAAAACAGGCCCCAGTCTCACGGCGATTGTCTGGAAAGGCTACAAAACGGTTTTTAATTTATGAAAATAAATATAATTTGGATAATCAAAAGTAGATTTGGTGACATATTCCCTGTGTCATTGGCAATTCTAGGGTAATCTACTACAGTCGTAGGTTAATTAATAATATAATTAATGAGTAAATATTACCTCATGCTTCTCATTGTTCTTTAATATTACGGTTAAGAGGGTACTAATTTTAGACCGCGTACTGAGTATTCTCATGAAAAAGTGGACGAGAGCGTTTGTTTTAATAAATTTTTGTTTTAAAGTTATTTTTGTAAACAAAAAAGCTGTGTGGTGTAAATCACTTTAATAAAACACAATTTGAAAAACAAAATATTTTTTTAAAGCTTTTGTTAACTTTTTTATTATAATGCTGAGTACGCGGTGTAAAATGCTCACCCTCTGAACATTGATATTGGAGGACAAAAACGAGAAGCACGGGGCAATACTTACTCGTTTATTATCTAATTAGATAATTAACTTTTACAACTGTAATAGCTTGCCCTAGAATCACCAAGGGCACGGAGATAATGAGAGAAAAGTTACTTTTCAACATGTATTTTTTAAATTCTTCTTAAAAAACGTTTTGTAGTTATTTATTTAGCATACGACCGCATCATGGGGTGGTCGAAAGACGTGATAGAAGTTTGCTCTGAACCGTCTATCCATCAAATGCAATTTCTTCGGGCCGTGGTATACGCGTTTTCATTGTAAGTGCACCGGAGATGAATACGAATACTTTATCTAGTAGAGTGCTTTCAGTACGTACAGTGTGCTCAACTGTTAAATATAATGCACGAGCACTGGATGGAGAGCCTGCGTGCTTTATCTGTCTGGGAGGTCACACCGCAGTTCTTGTGTTACACTCCCAGTTTTAAATCGGTGACGAATTAGTAATTCGGCGATTAAAACAACAACAACAACATTGTTTTTTAAGAAATTTTTTCTGCTGCTTATATAAAAAAAATAAAAAAAATTGCACGGTAATCGAACTAAGGCGGTGCCTTGTGAAAAACGTGTCACACCGACTGACGAGGACGGGGTTTAATTTTAAATTGAACACGCGTGTCTGTGTGGGTATTTTGATTTGCCTAAATATATATCTATGTAGTAGCGGAAGGGTTGTTCAGTAATAAATAAAACCTTTGTTCGAGATTTTTTTATAAAATGTATTTTCTTCTACAAAAATTCTTAAGTAGAGCTAGGTGAAATGCTACACTTCGGCTGCTTGATTTTTCTACCCAGTTCTGCCGGTTGTTATAAATAAGTAAAAAAACGCTATTTTTTATACGAATGTATAAGGCGTGACATTTTTCTTTTAGTTTAAATTAAACTTTTTCGGTATAATTCACGCCAGAAAGAAATAAAAAAATTAAGAACTGCTAACATGGCAAAAAAAAAAAAGAATCTAAACAGCGTACCTTTGATGTTTTGGTGAGGTATTGGGAGATTTGTATCTTAGGATGAATCACAAATATTGCTTACTAAATAGTGTTCACCCGCAGTCCTCTACATGGGTTATCGACTGGTAGTACTTTAGTTTAATTTATTTTCGGGAAGTACTGTATATAACTTCTAAATTTTATCAAAAATTAAATTTAGCCATATTTCGGACTTCCGGTATTAAACAAGTAAATTTTTTTATTCATTTATAGTTTTTTTTATTATTA